GGCCGGGCCACCCCCGGGGGCTGCGGCTCCGCTCCGGCCCGCCGCCCTGCGCCGCGTCCCCGGCTGGTAGAGCAAGGTCAGTGCCGCCGCCCTGGGGCCTGGCGTCCTCCCCCGGAGGGTGCCCGGGTTGGAGGAGTGAGCATCTGGGCGAAAGGTCGCGCGCAGGAAACGTGTCGGTGCCGCTCGCCCGGCCCGCCTCCCGCCTCGCGTCTCCCCGACCCCGCTCCTCTCCGAGCCCAGGTGTCTTCTGTCGCCATGCGGAGAACCGAAGAAAATCGGATTCGCGCAGTTTTTCTTTTCGGTCCTGGCTCGGCTTTGGTCTTTACAGCCATCCCCGTCAAGTGTCAGGAATGTGAAGTCCGACCTGTCGCGTCACGATTAAATTCATACGCCGCCCAGGTCACCAGCTTACGTATTCGAATTTGTGTGCATCATCTAAAATTAACTCTGGGAACTTGTGGATGGTTCTTGGGACAGTTGGGAACTTATGGATGGTTCTTGGGACAGTTGGGTGGTGTTTTTAAGTTTTTACTTAAATTTTTTAGAGGACCTTAAATTCTGTCATAATTGGCATCGTGTTTTGTATCTTTACTGAAGGTAGCTTTAGTTTATGGACTCTTCAAACAAGTATATATATTGCAAACTCAAGACTGTTTTTGTGTAAACTTCATAGAAGTAGAGTTTTGGTAAATTTGCCCACCCCTTGTGTTTAGAATCTTGTCTCAAGTTTCTGTTACTCGGCGTCTGTTACACACCTAACGTGCAGATGCGCTTTGTGTTTTTAGGACCATCAGTGCCGTCGCATACTGTCTACTGTCTACTGTCGTGGGCTCCCTTTGAATGTTTTCCTTTTTTTTTAGACAGGGTCTCACTGTGTCTTTCAGGCTGACCTTGAATGCACTGTGTAGCCCAGGCTGACCTCGAACTCACAGCCGTCTTCCTGCTTCAGCCTCCAAAGTGCTGAGGTTACAGGCATGTGCCACCACACCCGGCTGTTTCTCTCTTCTTTAGATGCTAATTCCCTGCGTTTTCAGAGCCTGCTGTTAGCACTGTTGACAATCAAGAGGTGGATACAAACACTAGCAGTGTGACTGATTCCTCGTGTTAGGTCAGTGGACTTTGCAACTTCACTTCTCTACCACAATTCAGCCACCGTGCCTAAATGTTCAGCTCTCTAAAGTGAGATCGCAGACTTGTGTTCTCAAAAGGAGTAAAGATTGTGACTTTTTTTTAGTCCACTGGAAGGAACTCAGGCTCTATAGTTCTAAATATTTTCAAATATATTAGTAGCCATACAGGCAGTAGGAAAATTTAAAGTTTATGTTCCAGTCTTCAGTTTTCACAGTAAATGATCATTTCTATGCGTTGAACTACAGTGTAGCATGTGATATTCTTTTAAATGATACTGTGCATCCTGGATTTGAGTTCACTTGTAATCCGTGTGTTACATATTTTTTCAATATTTAGGATAGATAAAGAATTATCTGAGCTTAATAACGTATCCCCAGTATTGGTTCTTAGTATGCATTTACAAGTAGAGAAAATTCGTTTCAGCATGTGATATTCTTTTAAATCATACTATGCATCCTGGATTTGAGTTCACTTGTAATCCGTATATTACATATTTTTTCAGTATGTAGGATAGATAAAGAATTATCTGAGCTGAATAACGTATCCCCAGTATTGGTTCTTAGTATGCATTTACAAGTAGAGAAAATTACAAGTAGCATGTGATATTCTTTTAAATCATACTATGCATCCTGGATTTGAGTTCACTTGTAATCCGTGTGTTACATATTTTTTCAATATTTAGGATAGATAAAGAATTATCTGAGCTTAATAACATATCCCCAGTTTTGGTTCTTAGTATGCATTTACAAGTAGAGAAAATTCGTTTCCCTGCCACTTTCTAAAAGATTACAAAAACAAGTTTCTACTGTTCGGAAGGTGTTAGAGCTCAGTTACTCCAAACGTGCCCCCCCATCATCATGCGTTTATTAATTGTCTGATGCCAGGTTTTTGCTTTGTAAAATACTATTGTATGGGGAAGAATAAAGCATCAAACAGGATTAATCATGCAGATGGGTGCTGAAGCCTAATAATTACGCCAGACTTCATGGCATACACCTGTAATACCAGCACTCTAGAAAACTGAGGCAGAAAGATCCTAAGTTCAAGCCCAGCCTAGGTGACTTGGTGTAATCCTGCCTCAGAAAATGTTTAAAGAGGGTGAAATAAGAGTTAGGCCTGTAGCTCAGTGAGAAGGCCTTAGCATCCATCCCCAATACCAAACAAAAAAATTTAAACTAAACTGTTAAATAAATGCCTATCTTGGGCTGGTTTTTGTTCTGTTTTGAAACCCGGTCTTGCTCTGTAGTTCAGGATGGCCTTGAACTTGGTTGTGTAACCCAGCGGCCTTGAACTTACAGTGGTCCCCCTGCCTCAGCGGCCCAAGTGCTGGGATTGTAGGTGTGCACCTCCATGCCCAGCTATTGTCTGGGTTGATTTTTTATTGAAACATATCTCCTCTCCATTTAATCAGAAAACTGAATTTTAACTTCAGAGTTAACTTCAAATCAATTAGCAGTCGCAACGCTCAACAGAATGTCAAAGAATTGGGAACAGGTTTGGCTTGGAATATTTATCTGCTACCCAGCATATAACATTTTGAAGGATACAATGTGATTTTAGATGAAACAGTCTTAATCTTTGCAGTATGTCCGCAGAAGTCTAAACCATGCAGTCCACTGAGTCCAGTGAGGCTCTTTGGTGGGGAGAAGGGCTCCTGGGATTGAACCCGGGGCCTCGACCTGAGCTCCAGGCCCAGCCTCTCTTCTTCCACTTTTTGCATGTTTTAGACAAGGCCTCCCTAAGCCACTCCATTGGCCTGGCTGAGTTTGAACTTGCAGTTCTCCTACAGCCTCCCAGAATACTGTATTATGCCCAGCGCAGGTGAAATTCTTTGTTCATTTTTCCTACTTATTTTTACAGTTAATTTTTAGAAGTTTGTGCATTTTCAGGTAGGTGCTTCTTAATGAGACAACTTAAAAGTTAGGAACAGCCTCATAGTTATACCAGAAATTAAACAGATTTGCAGATTCCTGTATGTCAGGTGAAATTGTAACTAGGAAGGTACCTACCCAGTTAACAAACATGCATTTGAGACTTACTTTGTAATACAAGGCCCTGCATTATTTATAAGACAAAGATTGACTATAAACTTTGCAGCTGATGGGATAGGGAGAATTAAGTAACTCAAAGATTTCATTGCTATTAATATATATAAACACTGAGTAGATGGGTAGACTCCACTTTTGTCCTTTTGTGTGTGGCTTCTTTCATATAGCAATATGAGAATATATGTGAATATACATGTAGAAGTCGGGCGTGGGGGTGCACGCCTGTAGTTCCAGCAATTCTGGAAGCTGAGGCAGGAGGATCATTGTGAGTTCAAGACCAGCCTGGGCTACAAAGTAAGCTCAAGGCCAGCCTAAACTGCATAGCGAGACTCTGTCTCAAAAAAAACAAAACAAATTATATATATATATTGCACTGGGAATTGAGTCCAGGGCTTTCATACTGAGCTATCGTCCCAGGCTTTTTTATTTTTTCTTGGGCTTGCCTTGAATTTGCAGTCATCCAAATATTACCGGAGGCAGGCACCACCACACCCAACTCATACAGTAATCGGTATTGTTTTGAAGGTTCATTCATGTCATAGCATGTGTCAGTATTTAATTTCCTTTCATGGCTGACTAATACTCTATTGTATGCATATGTCACTGCCCATTTACTGATGTCCATTTGGATTGTGTCTGCTGAATGGGTGTTGAAGAATAATTGAGCTACAATATTCATTACAAGTTTTATGTGGATATATTTTAATGTACATATTTTGAAAACTTCGTTTTACCTTTCTTTTGGTCTTTTTGAGACAGGGTCTCACTATGCAATCCAGGCTGGCCTTGAGCTCACTTTGTAGCCCCGGCTGGCTTCAATCTCTCAGCAATCCTGCTTCAG